GTATGACTGAAACCATTAACCTATATTAAGTTTGTCAAAAGTTTCAAATTACTCAAACATGATAAACCGCATTTTTGTAATGACATAAGAATGGCGCAATGAAAAATATACTTAATCGGAAAGGTCGAACGTGTTATAAGTGGACTTGGCTTGCAAGTAACTACTGTATGTACGCAACAGCTTTAATTAAAGAGTGTTATAGAACAATTTAGGCAGCCGAGTCTTAGATGGGGCCTGTATTACGTAGTTAGTCGACAAGCGTAAGATCCAGGCTAACGATAGACAATCGTTGCAAGAGTTGTCGTTTGACGTAGTGAATTACGTAGCAACCTTCAAACAAATGAATCATTTAGCTGATGTTAATGTCAACGAGAACCTTCGTAAAATTATAAAGAGGTTACCTGATCATCTGATTGACGAATGGAAAGGCGTCAGATCTAGCTTAGAGAAACCCATTTCTTGAGCAGATTGGTAAATTCATTGCGGAATTCGGCCGAATTTGATCCTAACTTCGGGTAACCACGAGAGAAACGGCATCCACTCCGCACAAAAAATTTAAGAAACCCCTCAATGTTAGCTGCGTGTGCTGAGAAGAATATCGTCCAGTAGGTTGTCCCACCTTTTCCAGTTTTTCTATCGATAAAAAAATTTCGGCATGCTAAAGTTCAGCGATTGTGTTTTTCTTGCTTAAACCGGAGTCACGTGCCCAGCGACTGTAAGTCGAAAGTACGATACAATATGAATGAATGTTTTCGTTTTCATCATCAGTTGCTCCACTCAGACTCTTTCCCACCTCCAATGTCTTTAAGTGTAACAACATCTGCACTCGACAAACAAAGTATCATGCCTGTAGTGAGAGCGAAATTCAGATCTGTGAATGGAAAAGTTCGTGTAATAGATCGGATCCTTTAAGTACTGTATAGTCACCCCCATTCAGAATATGAAGTTGGATAAAGTTTACCTTTCCGTCCTGTTGCTAAAAGAACAACACTCGGCTGGCATGTCGACCCTAAGTTACTTGAACTTTACCAGAAAAATCAATTTAGAGAAATGCCACAATTTCGAGATATTGGGAGTGCGAGCACCTGACTGCAACTGTCCGTAAGAAACCATGTCCAGAGATAGAAAGAAAGCGATGGAGATGTTTGAGCCTCGTGTGCATTGCTTGATCAAAGACATGTAATCGGTCTCCCATGGAAGAAAGATCCTGTACACCTACCGAATAATTACCCTGTGTCGAAGCGACGCCTCGGATCTTTAGAGAGAAGTTTAAAGAAAACTTGACCAAAGCAAAGAAATACAACAACGCAATTTGTGAGTACAAAGCAAACGGATGGGCTCGAAAGTCGTCCGACACGGAGATCGAGAATACGAAGGGATCTGTATATTATTTGCTACACCATGGTATATATCGCCCTGAAAATATAGGCACACCTTCACGAATTGTATTTGACCCAGCGTACTTTTATCAAGGATTTTCACTAAATTCATTCTTTTACAAAGCCTCATGTCTGATTGGAAGCTTGCTGGGCGTCCCCTCTGTTTTCGAGAAGAAACAGTTACATTTTAATTAAAGATGTTCCTACAAGTTTTATTGCCCCAAAGCGACTGCCAAGTTCACAGATTTCTGTGGAGAAGAATGGAGGTGACGTAAGAATCAACAACTTATATCCTTCTTCGAGTTACGTTTGGTAACAACAACAACAACAACAACAACAACAACAACAACAACAACAACAACAACAACAACAACAACAACAACAACAACAACAACAACAACAACAACAACAACAACAACAACAACAACAGCAACAGCAACAGCAACAGCAACAACAACAACAACAACAACAACAACAACAACAACAACAGCAACAGCAACAACAGCAACAACAGCAACAGCAACAACAGCAACAACAGCAACAGCAACAACAGCAACAACAGCAACAACAACAACAACAACAACAACAACAACAACAACAACAACAACAACAACAACAACAACAACAACAACAACAACAACAACAACAACAACAACATTTATTGTGTCTATAAGCATTTTACAGTTCTTTTATCACACTCAGCAGGAAGATAATTGAAAGACGCCGGTTGCTTAATTAACCATAATGGGCTAACTAAATCCTTAAGCAACCGTTACAAACCTTGCCCAGATAAGGCGAGTTTTGTGATGGTAAGTAGGCCAAAGAACACCGAAAAATCGCTCCAGAGGCATCCAAGATTATCCAACGAGACAGATACGTCGACGACTTGATCCATTCATGTCCGTCAGCACGCGGCGCCTTGCAGAGAATAACAGACGCGGGAAAATACTCAGTATCAGTAGCTTCAAAATGAAAGAGTGGCATTGTTCTGCAGGTCAGTTAAGGGAACTTTCTGCGAAAGAAATGAATCAGCACCAAATTCAAAGATTGTCGAACCTCAAGAAGAATTACCCAACGCAAAAAACGTTAGTTTAGACGTTAGCCTTATACCAAACGGGTTGTTCTATCGAATATTTCGAAAATATTCGATCAATTGGGTCTAGTTTCAGTTGTAACAAATAAAACGAGAATTGCAGGAGAACTGAGAAATGAAGAAATTTGAATGGGATGTGGTCATGACCATCCACGACGAGTTTAAGATTAAAACTTCGAGGGTGAAACTGTGGTTGGACTCTGTGATTGTCTTCGCATAGCTTTGTTCTGAATCTACTCTGCTCAAATCCTTCGTTGGTGTCCGAGATGCAGAAATCCAAGCGACGTGGGAACCTACCGTTTGGCAATATGTTCTATAAAGCTTAACGCAGCCGACGACTTAAGTCGTGGTACTTCCTTCCATGAGATAAATGGAAGATGGATGAATGGTCTTTCGTTCCTGAGGAAGAACGCTGATGAATGGCCAACAAAAAGCCAACACAATAATCTCCTAAATACCCGAAATGAAAGTCGATAAACCCTTGTTCGCTTTACAACTAGCAGTAACAAGTTTTATCATTGCTCCCTCCAGGTTTTCAAGTTGGAAGAGACTTTATAGAGTGACAGCTTGTTGCCTTCTTTTCGTCAATAATGCCGAAGGAAATCAAGTGAGGAAATCAAGGTGAGAGCTACTAGGCCAGTTCAAAGTAAACTGCAAGATTGGAGAGACCGTTTAAAGGACAAGCGCTCTATGAAAAAGACAGAATTATCCAAGTCGGAGGAATACTGACCCATTTCCCCTTATATTCTACGAAGAGAATTAGCCAAAGAAGCTACCTGCAAAAACGTGATCTCAAAGCTAGTTGTGAAGGATTCCCACAACCGTGTATTCTATGTTGGTTGCAAACGTACACTCTATGAAGTCTAAAAAAGGTTCTGGATTGTTCGAGGAAGAAATTTGGTAAAAAAGATAGTGAAAAATTGCCTCACCTGTCGCAAACGTAGACAGTATCTCTTTACTACGCTGATGTCAGATCTACCTTCAAAGAAATTAAAGCTGTTTTCGCCATGCACCATTTACAACCCACTGGAGTAGATCTGTTTTGTCCATTTTACCTGAAGTTTAGCAGAAACAAGACAATAAAGACATACATTTAGAAATTGTCCAGGATTTGTCTACAGACGTTTCGCTTCGCAACACATCAAGAATGGCCTACGACCATTACTTCAGATAATGGTACATCGTTTGTTGGTTCGAAAAGCGAGCTGAAGACGTTATTGAAAGAAGGAAGAAAAGAAATGAAGCATGGAGTCTTCACCGGGGGATTTTCGAAAGCATGATGAAACGAACACAGCTTTGAAAGTCATAGTTGATCAACAAATTTTGTTTGGGAAAGTCGAATGCTTAGTGAATAGTCAAGTAAGTCGACCCCCTAGATACTCTTCCAATGATGCTAATAAACTGCAATCCTTGTCCCCCAATCCCGGTCGTGCAACAGCTGACGTCCAGCAAGTTCCGTTTTGAGAAATGACGGCCTAGAAACGACTAGAGTTTGTTCAGTTATTAATCCAGCATATCTGGATCGGTTCCAGCGAGAATATTTCCAAACTTTGATCAGAAGAACGAATTTGAAACGTTAAGAACGGCTGATCAAATTCCGTGATACTGTTCTATTAGTTGACGATACAGTACAATTAATGATTTTTCCAAAACAAACAAAATGGCGGAAAGATATTTTGAAAAAATATGAAATGAAATTACCTTTGGGGAACTAGATGAAAATACGAACAAAAGTACCAAATTTTGCTTTAACAAAAGAACTAAATGAAAATACGAGCAAAAGTACTATATTTTAGTTGAAAGTCTGGCAAAACTGGGCTTTGGCGAGAGAAATATCCAATTTTGTCATATGCTAAAAATAAACAAGTATAATCATGCGAGGTTGCGCGTACAATTGGGGATTAATACTACTTGTGATGTTTGGAAATTTTCCGAAATGGGCTCGCTCCGGCGGCTCGTCCAATTTTGGCAAAATTTCTAAACATCACTCGAACTATTAATCCCTAATTGTACTCGCCATTGCAAAATTACCTATACTTATCGCTTGATATATGAACATAATTTTGAATTTCGATACGATATCATTGTCCTCGTTTGCTGCGCCTACTCATGATATTAATTAATGATATTGTTCAGCAGTGGCGGAAATCTCGGTCACCTTCACGGAAAATTGATGAATTTTCGGAAATTGTTATCTGAAAGACGGCTAAAAACATCCTTTTCGAGTGCCAATAGGGAGGGGCGGAGTAAGCGGAAATTAGAAAGTTTTGTCAGAGGCTTTGCCTCCCCCCACCGGAAAAAGCGAATTTCCGCGACTGTGGTTCAGTGAGATCTGTTTTGGATAATAAAAAATAAGGTTTTTTTCCATGTAAGCATAGTTGCATCGCTTAGTTTTGTTTTACATGCTGCCACGCTTAGTAAATACGTCTTGCGTTTAAAATAATTCAACGTGCACTATTAGATTAAGTGGAAAATCAACATAAAATGTAAGAGTTATCCAAGCAAAATGAAAAATGTACTACATTGTAGTACTATTTATTATCCAAAATTAAGCTCATTGAACTCTAGAAACACCCCATTATCATGCCAAATGCTAAGGAGTGCTCAATGTCATACATTAGAGCAAATATAGTATTGATATACCTCAAAAGTCACCTGATAATTCCTCTTGAATAAAACAGACTGACAACCTTATGAGATATATATCAAATGGGCTCTAGTCCCATGTATTTTTTTTCTTTTTATATTCTTTTCGTTATTTTCTTTCTCTTGGAAATTTGGTTTTTTGTGTAGTACTTTATCGCCTTCCAGTCACGCTTGTCCAAGGCGCCGCCAGACTTTTTCTTGCAGGCGTCACATTCATCCTTATTTGGGACTTTCTCTTCCCGAATGTGAATATCGAAGTGTTCAAGAACAGCCCTTTTTTCATCTCTCGTCCATTTGTGATGTTCTTGTTTCCCTAAGACAGAAAATGGCACTCAATAAAAACGAGGAGCTCTAGTACAGACTTTAAGGTGGCTAAAACTGGCCTTGTTTATCTTAACAGCCTTTTGAGATCCCGTTTACACTAGAGCAAAATACATTGAATACATCACAAAACCGGAACGTTTTCGGATGCATTACAAAACAGGAACATTTCAGTACTGGATTCATCTTGCCGTTTACGCGCGCAGCAACGAATCTGATAGGCCCTCCTGATAGTAAATCATCTCGGTTTCGTCCCGGAAACGTTTGTGGGAACTTCATATCCTGACACATTTGTATGCGGAAAATTTTCTCATGTATAAACACGTTTTCTATGATGAATCCGAATATATTTGTTCCCGCGATCATCACAATCACAATGAGAATCACAATGTGATCATCACATCACAATGTGATCATCACATCACAATCTAAGTATATGCGTCATTGAATGTACGCCCCATTGGCGTTGGAAAAATTTATTTTTTTCTATATTTCTATTTCGTTCTTTTTTAAAGTTGAATACTATATGTTCTGAGCTATACACTGCTGACCTAAATTTTTAGTCATCAATACTCTAACCTTATATGATTGAACATTAAATTTAAATATATATTCGGTAAAAAGGGATGGAAATTCATACCTTTACGTTTTGTTGATGAGCTTTTCATCTTTGAATAATATAATGGTGAGCGAGATCGATCTTAAAAAGAAGATATCAAGCTGCAACATCGTACGTGTTCTCTTATTATTAAGTACCTTCTGCAACTGGACTGAAATCATAGCTGTTACATAGCAATATAATAACAAGAAAATGAAGCAGTTACGTACTTCTGTTGTGCTTTCTATTTACAGATCTCACAACTACCGTGCTTTTCAGTCACACATTATTAGCTGTAAGAAGCTTCTATAGTAGTTTACTTAATAATTTATTTTTTTTATTAATTTAATCGGTTCTGCAATTATACAAATTTTCATGTGAATAAAACTTCTTAAGGTAATTCCGCAGTAATTGTTCCCTAAATGAGAATGTGCTGAAACTTCCCAGGCATGGAGTTTATGATATACTTAAAGTAAAATCACACAAAAAAGTTGGGGTCACCGAACTCCTTAAAAAGTTATGACAATCACAATATACCACCTTTACCCCAATATGGCGCCATCTTGACGCTCATTATGAGTAACAACAAAATCACAACAGCCCGATATTTATTGACGTTTTTAGTGCGGATTTTGCTTTAGTAAACCTATCTTGTAATTATTTTTGAAAAAATATTGTGTTTTGAGCAAAGTGAAACTACTAACGTGTACAATTCTGATCTACAAATGTCTTTTCCACATCTTTTTACATATCTTTCTTTAAGAACAGGCATTTTTCATTAAAGTGTTTTTGTCAAGATCCAGAAATCATTTTTCTTTTAATTTCGGATATGAAATGTAAAATGCATCAAAGAAATAAATTGTCAGTTAAAAAACGGGGGTCACCGATCTTTTTAGGAAATTGTGGCATTAAAACGTGAAATACAAGTAAATAAATATACTACAGATACAAGAACCCTAGCTACACTTTTGTATGCCTTTTTTGAAACCTTGATTTTGACGTATTTCTTTGCACGAATGTAAACAAAGATGTTTTGAGGTAACATAAAATTGTCATAAAATGATTTTTTTTAAACCGGTACGTGTAATGGATGAGCAGTGGATGAGTTTTTGGGCACGCCAAGAAAGTTGAATCGAGCGAGCAGTCAGGCGGACAAAAATGCGCAGATTAGACAACTACAGAGAAAGTTGAGTAAAGTTCGCTCCGCCCGCACGGGCAAAGCGACTGCAGTGAAAAATGGCCTTTACGAAGAATATGTAGAAAGAGCAACCTAATGGATAAGGAATGGAGTATTGTTTCCACAGGTGATAAATGTTCAAATTGCTTTCTGTTGGAATTGTTTTTAGCAATGCCCATATACCTTTCGGGAATGAAAGAAAAGACACCGCATAGAAACAAATGAAGGCATAGTAACCTTAATCTATTCATTATTAGGATAATGATTTGAGTAAGGAAGAAATAAGAGTACATACTAAAATGTGAAACCGTTAGAACGCAACATCGTATATTTAATACGTGGCGTGACCATTCGTATTTACGAGGATATGCTAGAAAATCACAAGACTGGCAAAATAACGGAGGACAATATACATGTAGCAAAGAATTGAATTCGTCACAAATGGCTGTCTACATTTGTTTTAAGTTATTGGAAAGAAAGTGTTTCGGGAGATATAGAAGTAGATTCACTAAGCTTTTAGCATTTGTTAAAACAAAATAATGAAGCCGAACAGATCAAACAACAGCTGCATCGAATCACGACTGAACCAATCAAATTTTGTGTTAGCTTCTTTTACATTGCGGGTTGTTGCTGAAAGGTTTCCTTTCTATAACATTCTCAAAACGGCTAAACAGAATGTGTTCTTACTTGGTGACCAGTCGTCTTCACTTCCATTGTTTTGTGCCTTCGCTTCCATGTCTAAATGTACACAGAATAAGTGAGTTGTTGAAGACTTGTTGAGGTTTAAAAAAGTTGAGAGCAATGTGCTTGGATATTTTAAACATTTTTTACATGTTCATATAGTTTGTTATTTGTTCGTATTTTCTTACATGTTCTCTAAAAAGTCAAACTAAATTTAATGCTTGCTGGAAATAAACGCGCATGGAACAACTTTAAATCAGTTTTTGTGCAAAACTTTGTTTCTATTAAAGAACTATATGAATATAATAAAAATAATTTCGGCCATATTAATGCCATTTTAACTATTCATCTCTGGCAGTGCCTGGTGACCTCTAAATTGTTTGTCCAAGATGCTAAGTTCAGTATCATACTCGTTCAATTCAAAAACAGAACCAAGCAGTGGGCAAGTGTCTTGACCTCACCAGACTTACCAGGTAACCAGTCGTCGTCGCTTTCGTTGGACGTTCTTCGTTTCTTTGACTTTGTCACTATGACAGAAAGAAATTCGTTATAATAATTAGGGGTGGAAAATTTAAGACCCTTAATTGCTGTATTCATACACTAGTTTGTCAATGGTTGTTTGTAGATTTATTGGTACTTATGGTCTAAAACCCAGCAACCACCGAAGGGGCGGGAGGGGAGAGGGTGCTGTGGGCACTCCTACAATAATTTTATCAATTATCGAACTTTTCCATATCTTATTATTTTCCTGGTCTTGGCTAGACGTTACATAAAAGTTAAACAATCAAATACATTGAGAAAAATTTACCTGGGAAGTTGTCTTTGTCCAGCTCGCTTTCCCTCTGAGAACCTGACTTCTTCGTTTTGGAAACTGCAGTGAAAAAGTATCCATTAATATTAAGGAAATGCTGACATACTGCAAGAACGATTTGGGGGTACTCAAACGAACTCAATGGAGTTTACTGATAAAATTTCCAGAGAAGTGAATTTGGATGAATTTGATAGATGGAGAGCAAATATTGCCACCAAATTTGTCTCGGGTTAGGAAATAAGTATATGAGCTATTTATCAATATAACTGTTCACGTTGGAATGAACTTGCATAATAAACGAAGTTGGAACAACTTTGAAACAGGAATTTTTTGTAAAAATTGTCTCTATTAAAGAACTATATGAATATAACAAAAATCATTTCGGCCATATTAATGCCACTAGAACTATAATTAATTTATGCCTAGTGACCTCTAATTTCAACACCTCAAAACCACTTGTACGCCACCACAACATTGTCGGATGCAAATTGTGTCCCCAAGATGCTAAGTTCAGTATCATGCTCGTTCAATTCAAAAACAGAACCAAGCAGTGGGCAAGTTTGTTGACCTCACCAGACTTACCAGGTGACCAGTCGTCGTCGCTTTCGTTGGACGTTCTTCGTTTCTTTGACTTTGTCACTATGACAGAAAGAAATTCGTTATAATAATTAGGGGTGGAAGATTTAAGACCCTTAATTGCTGTATTCATACACTAGTTTGTCAATGGTTGTTTGTAGATTTATTGGTACTTATGGTCTAAAACCCAGCAACCACCGAAGGGGCGGGAGGGGAGAGGGTGCTGTGGGCACTCCTACAATAATTTTATCAATTATTGAACTTTTCCATATCTTATTATTTTCCTGGTCTTGGCTAGACGTTACATAAAAGTTAAACAATCAAATACATTGAGAAAAATTTACCTGGGAAGTTGTCTTTGTCCAGCTCGCTTTCCCTTCGAGAACCTGACTTCTTCGTTTTGGAAACTGCAGTGAAAAAGTATGCATTAATATTAAGGAAATGCTGACATACTGCAAGAACGATTTGGGGGCACTCAAACGAACTCTATGGAGTTTACTGATAAAATTTCCAGAGAAGTGAATTTGGATGAATTTGATAGATGGAGAGCAAATATTGCCACCAAATTTGTCTCGGGTTAGGAAATAAGTATATGAGCTATTTATCAATATAACTGTTCACGTTCGAATGAACTTGCGTAACAAACGAAGTTGGAACAACTTTGAAACAGGAATTTTTTTGCTCTATAGCCTGAGCCTGGGGCCCCCCATTTGCGGGCCCATTGGGGTTGGGGGCCCCCGGATTCTCCCAGTCCGATCCCATAGTAGTTACGCCACTGACAGAGGAGGTTGGACAGCTAATTAGGCGAATCTGGGCGAATCTCTCGACCAATCAGATTGCGCCATTTTCCTCATGCTCGCATGAAGTTTTTGGCATCGAAAATTTACATAGGGCTCATAAATATCGACTTTTTTCATATTGTTATGCACATTTTTTTGGAAATTTCACGCGATACTACTTTTACAACAGTGAATCTACCCATTGGGACGGTATCTTGAAAGGTAAGCGTTATTTTCCAGTTTATTTTGACCTCTCACTTTAGGCGCTATGCCGTCGCGATGTAATTTAATGGCGTTTCTGTCAACAATCTTTGAAGACAAAAATCTCAAATTTCCACGGTTCGATTTCGCTATTTTTTTCACGATTAGTTAAACAAAAGTATAATCTTTAATTCTATCCAGCCGGCCCCCCTCGGTCCCGCAACCGTTTTCGAGATATTCACCGTTGAATATAGCCCTCTGTAAAATATGTTGCCTTGTCACTCAGATCGATAATGAACTGCCATTACTCGTTTTTTTCTAAAGAAGTGTGATATATTATAGAAGTTTCGATATATTATGGATTGTATATATTGCAGTTAAAGTGTGCAAATAATTAAAGCCCTTCCGTAACAATATGTTACAAGTGAAATTTATTGTTTGGCTGATGTTTTAGATTTGAGATTCGTGATTTTGGCTGGATTCTATTTTTGTCAATGATTTTGTCTGCAAGAATTAAGCATCATCATTAAATTTGGAGGTAAAATCGGTCCTTCCAATCTGTACAGACCTTCTACATCTGCAAGATCTCCGATGCTATGATTGTCTCTCCATCGAGTGACCAAAACCTTGTTCACCTTTCTGGTTATGTTCTTCTGTTATTGGGTCATTCCAGAAAACATCCATACCACCCCCACGGAGGAAATTGGAAGTTAACCCCCCTACCCCCTTCGGATGTCCTAATACATTTACTATTATCAGAAACAATTTTGTCTCCTCTCCCCCTCCGGACGGCAGAAATTTCCTCTGTGGGGGGAGTGTGGATCTTTACTGGAACGACCCATTGGTATGACTTCTGGATTTTCAAAACTAACCCAGCGACAACCAGAATAACTACTCATCCACCTGTTTCAAAAATGGCTGGTAAAAGTTAACCCTGGTTTAGATGCTAAATTTGTCCCTCAAAATTTTCTCCCACTTGTTGCCAAGGCTATGTCTGTACTTCATGCTGGTCAAAAAGACAATCTGATTTATCACACTGCTCGATGCTTTGGAGAACAACGCCATGGAGATGTTGGTCTGATGCCATTGGATAGAATGCCCTTTATAGGAGTGAAGGCCCACTTGGCCTTTTTTTAACAGTATTTTGTAATGATGTTACACAACTAATTCAGATAAAGTTTGAGAAATGGTGGTTCTTTCAATGATAAGCCCCAGAGAGGGGGGTGGGGTCGGGCATATGTGGGGCATTTGATTTTTTGAGCAAATTTTCAATCAAATGCCCCACTGTTAGGTAATAAGATTGGTAAACACCCCACCATTTTGCAATAAATTGCAATAAATACTATATTAATAAAAGTCATTTTGGTTCAAATTGCCCAAATTGCCCAAACTCAGGCCCAAAATGCTAATCAAAATCCCCAGAGTGGGGATGCAATTGATGATCAAATACCCCACATATGCCCACCCCCTCTGGGGCTTGACATTGATAGGTGCAATTATATGCAGGTTTTTTTTGTATTCTCATGCAATGTACCACAAAGTATCAGCAGCATGTTATTGTTGGACCTTTGATCAATATGTATATAAATAGACATATTTTTGTTTTATTGTTGCATTAATTTTAATGAAAAATAAAAATTACTCACAAAGTTGGTCAAGTGAATGTACAAACTATTTATTTCTTCATTTAGTACAGCACATGTTACAATTTTGCACTTGTCTTAATTGCATGAGTGTGCATGACAGACTTTTTTTATTTTAATTGTGCACACCCACTTATGATTAACCTAGTTTTTGTTTATGAAAATCTAAAAAGTTACCTAATTGAAATAAGATCATTTCTATAACTTGCTAAACCTAGTCAGTTACAATTATATCACAAACATCTGTCAACGTACACTCATGCTCTCCCTTACCACTTGAGTCTCCCACTCACCGTGTCGCTTTATAAAAAATTTTTGATAAAATCCTATTTTAAAAAAGTCAACCCTATACTTGATATGCTGAACATAGACCTCTAAGATATGTCTTGTGGCAATTAGTCGGTGCAAATACTCGCATAGTTGAGAAGCAAGATAACCAATGTGTGTCCATCCAGTTCCATAGTCTACATCAATTGCAATTGCACTTGGGTCCATTCCAGGATTCTCTAGCCGTATTCTTACATTCACTGGTTTATCTTGTCCATGAAGGACAAGGTATGCTGTTGATGTTGGTAATTTTTCTCATGAGCAGCACCGATGCACTTGAATGGTACAGCATGGGTGATTTCGTCCTCGTCACTTTCATCCTCGTCACTTAACTGGTCACCACTTTCTGCCCTATCACCTTCATTACCATATCCATCCTGACCAGCTTCAAGACCAGCCAACCACTCAAGTAGATCTCTTTCTACAAAATCATAACAAGAAAATTTTTATTTTATTATTTTGTACATAAACTGTAATCTCTAAAATTAGAAATCTAATGCAAAAGTGTGTCACTATTTACAGTAATATTTATAGAACAACACACAAATATGGCAATATTTTACAGATGAAAATTGAAAAATATCACTATTGTATACACATATATGTAAAAATCTATCCACAACTAGATACAAACAGGCATCATACTTCAGCAAAAATTTATTAAACAATTTGTTTAACTCAAAGCATGTACATATGTATCACAGTACACAGACACACACAATAGAGTCAAACTAGAGCCATTTATAAACACAAATATTACGCCATATTAATTTTGTACAGTGTATTTATAAAATTACAGTACAAGGTTAAAAAAAAGCGGATAATAATTTGACTAAATAACAAGGTAACTGTAATGCATTGTAGTATACCAACCTTAAATATTGCGCTTGTTTTCACGTTGATGATACACGGAGATTTAACGTCATCCAAGTTAGAAAGAAGAGCCTCGCTATTGGGAATATAAGTACAATTCGTTCGCTCAGACGCATTATTTATCAAGCTAAAATGACAACATGTCCCATGCAAATATTTAAAAAAGGTAAACTTGGTATAGTAAAACACAAGTCGTAATGATGATCGCAACAATACAGCAATAACATGCTGTTTCTTTTCACAAAATATCGCAGCCTGACACTCTTGTCGTTCGAAAGCTTCCATATTGGTTTAGTCAGAGAGATGTTCACTCCTCGACAGTCAACAGTCAATGAAGTCACGCGCGGAATTAGGCACTCAATATCCATGATGCTTTGCGGCCTGCTGTCCAACCTCCTCTGATATGGTTACGATGTACCGTATTCTGAAGCGTTGGTAATGTCGAAACTGCATAAACTCTCCGATCATCGTAGTCATCTTTGTGATGAATTTTTCAACAAAATTGTAATGAACCCAAATGATAAACTCCATGGGTATCTGCCTTATAACAGCCGCTGGACGGTATAATGACCATAGTAGTTCTAGCATTTTGTCTTAAAATTTTTTAAATTTTATATGTAAAACTTTTTAAATTCAGTTCTTTGCTGTAAAATCAAGGTTATAATTCTTAATAAACGATCTATCTATCTATCTATCTATCTTTAATATGAAAACATATACAATGACTTACATGCACACAAAAGACAAAAAGTCGTAGAACAGAGTTAATTCTTGAATGGTGCACATCATTTTATACTCATGGTATTCAAAGCTTGGTATTGTAGAAGGTAAGGTCGACTTTGCACAAGGGATTTATAAATATCACAGTTGCGGCGGTTGCAAGAGGAAAATTAAAAATTTCGATGAAACCAAAGTTGTCGTTACATGCACAGCATGTAATCTGTTCCAGAAAACCTCCAAAGTCTCCAAGCAATGGGTAGTCAAGTTCAGTTTGATTGAACATAATGTGAATTCCAATCGCTTTCAACTGACTGCATCTCATGCAGTTGTTTCCCAGCTAATGACGACATTAGTTTGCCAGATGACATCAAGGAGAATGACTCAATAATAATACCATTTATGACTCAATAAATAATACCATTATGATAATAAGATTAGTGTAAACTCTGAACATTATAGACATTATTGAAAACTTGGACCTTCATCGATCGTACCACTTGAACCTTTGCCAGAGTTGGATTGCTTATATAGTACAAGAAAGCATTTATCTATTTCCTGACACTTTATACTTTTTGTTAATAATTGTTATGCTGGTATAAAAAATTAGTGTTTGCGGTTTTTTTAGGCGCAGTGACTGTGTCATCACAGCACTCACCAGTATAGGTGGATTTCACGAAATGCTTCAGTGGTGGTCAACTTTACACGTATTGTAGTTTAATTTATGCACTGTGGAAGCGAGCAAATTTCGTTAAATTGCATGTATTTGCCACCACACACAAGGTGAATACATATAATGAATACTTAACTCGATCCGATAACTGTGTTTCCTTTTGGAGTTGACCACCAAGCGCTAAAGTATCACGTGACTGAAACCCAGCTATTGGAAACAGTTGTAAACAAATGAACTTCATGTATTTCATATTACAAACTCGAAAAACTTTCCTTTGACTTTCAATGGATTTTTTGTGTCGACCAATCCTAAATCATTTGGTGGGTTTTACACTAAGTGTAAAACATAGTGAATCACATGGGCGACGGGTACAAGCGTTGTACACAGAGGTCTCACTTCTATATTTTGTGTGTAAGGAATTTTTCAATTCTGTCATGTTCTTATTTTCAATCGTAAGATTGTGGCTGGCTACTAAGTCACTCCTAGCATCTGTTCCTGCATCGAGTTCCCTAACCTTCTTATTCGATTGAATGTAGTCTACTCAGTCTATTATGAGATCTAATACGGGATTTAATATGGCTTATTGAGAATGTGGCATATGACAATACAACAGAAAATACCGATTCGCTTGAATGCACTAGCTAATTCGGCATGTTTCTTTAATGATATACAGGGTGTATCAAAAAATCGTACACCCTTTCAAATTCAAATTAACCGTAATCTATTGTAGCAATTTGACAGCCGTATAATTTCTCCAATTAATGAATGCGTGAAAGTTTTCTGCATATGGGAATTTAGGATAACTTCTATTTGTATGAACAAATACACAACTCAAAGAAAAATGTTTAAATTAAGCATTATAAAATGGGCCAGCTTACTGCAGAGCAACGAATATTTAAAAATTATGGCTAATTTGAATTTGAAAGGGTGTACATTTTTTGATACACCATGTATTTGGCCACTCCAAATTACTGGCTACGTTTACACAAAACTGGATAGCCGTCTCCGTATAGAGACACGAAAAAGCACCTATAATCCGATACGACTGTCAGAAGATGAGCGAAACAACATCTCTCCGTTGCAATAATTCCTCTGAAATATCGTTCCTAAAAGATACGGATAGGTGTTTTTCACGTCGCTACGGAAAGCTATCCGGTGTCCCAGGAAATCCCCCCCCCCCAAAAAAAAAAATCTGTCTCCCCGGGCCAACTGATTTCCTAGGAAATATGCTCCCCCCCCCTTCGGAAATTTGGCCCCCTCGAAAACATAGTTTACTTTATCGCTATAAGCTCGGAAATCGTGAAGCTTCTTCAATGAAACCAAGATCCTAAAAGTGTTTGTCAGTATTTATAGTTAGTTTGCATTAAGTTATTTGTGTCGAAATTCTTCATTGCGGCTAAGAGCCAAAAGTTTGAAGGAAAGCGTAATAATAATAATAATAATGTGCTAATGCTAGTAGTCATGCCAGACACATCACAGTGGGTATCTTTTGTAGAGGACAACGTTAATGCATTAAGGCCCGATTCCACGAGCGCTTTTTGTCGGCGAAATGCGAAATATTTCGCCTGTTTCTTTTGAATTGCGACCACTCAAATAAATTATTTCTACTTGATTGCTCACAATTCAAAAGAAACAGGCGAAATATGTCGCATTTCGCTGACAAAAAGCGCTCGTGGAATCAGGGCTTAATGGCTTAGCTTTAAGCTATAGATAGGATTTTCAAAAGATATTACAAGTTTATATTTAGATCTATAAATTCAGTCACATAAATGAGTGGTTATTTCGTAAAAAAAAATATTTCGTAGGAGATATGGCAAATTTTCGGGGGGGGGGGGATTTCCTGTGACACCGGTACAAGTCTATATACGTAGCCTTAGGCCTGTTTTATACGTCGAATTTTGGTCGCGTCGAATACAATTCAAACAATAGATAATGAAGCTTAATGAGGTTTATCATCTCATTATCTATTGTCTCAATTGCATTCGACGCGACCAAAATTCGACGTATAAAACAGGCCTTATACTTTAGTTTCCCGTCTGATACGACCCCATTATTCCATGAAATAGATATACTTTTTTAAAATATCCATTCAGTGATTCAACTACCGAATGTTTTGGATTTTTTGTAAGCAGAAACCAAAAACCATGCGGATATCAACTGAACCTAATTATCTTTTTATGTCGTTCGAAAATCAAAGCGTGTAACGGAAGTGTCTGAGGTTACTTGAGTAAAAACGAACAAAAGAACAATTCGCGCTCTTTCGTGAAATTGAAAGTTTCAATAAATATGATTCGATTTTTACATAGTATATATTATAAATATATATTTCAATATACAGTGTGTATCAAAATAATTCGAATCCAAATTTGACAGACTGCTGTTTATAAAATACTAAAGTAAACCATATAATTTTTATATGGCAATAAAAAATAGCCTATTAGGTTTCCGATTATATTTGTTCTTATATCAATAGACAATAAGATCAAAAATGACCAAGAAATCGTGTGTTAAAACTGGTTGCTCGAAATCAAATTTTTCCGCCGATGGGAATTCGAAGTGAGACTTACAAACAAAAGATAATGCAAATTTAATTAATCAACAAACTGTTATGTAGCAAAATTTACATAAATTCATGTTCATTTAAAGAGATTTAAGCTCCTATGCTTTCAACATGTTGAACGAGAAGAAATTCGCGTTAAATTTGCATTTTAGTTTTCAGTGATGATTAGCATTTCAAAGCCTTGTGGGACTAACTTTGAAAGAAAAAATGTCCAATTCCCATCGGCGGAAAATTGTGATTTTTATGGACTTTTTTTGTCAAAGCAATACTCCTTCATTTTCCAACTAAATGACGCGTACAGCATGTCATTTGAAAGAACTAAATGAACTAAATGAACTTAACAATGGTGTAAAAACCAACCGAATTTGTCAAATATATTCTGCGTTATTACACGCCAAATTTGGATTCGAATTATTTTGATACACACTGTATATTTCATGAACGATAGACTAGAAAATACATGCATGCAGAAACCCTCGCTTGCTGACAAAACCATTGTATTTTCCGAACATGAAGTATCTAAGTTGTTATGGTAACACGATAATTTTTTAAGAATATTCTTACAAATGAAAAATCGCCTATAAATATCACTTTAATCACAAAATTATTAATTTCCCAACATATATATGTTAGGTATGTTATTATACGTAATATAAGCCTCGATTTAAGGTAAAATTCAACCACAAACGCTTCGCAAAGCGTTTTAAAGTCATTAGTGTTCTGTATTATACAGGGTGTCTCAAAAAAAACCAAAATCATTGAAATAACGTATTGTTCGAATTTCAATGCCGTAACACAAAGGATTTTGACAGGGTGATTAATTTGTTTTAAAAAATTAAAATATCTTTGTAAAGTGAACGTTTGTTTGCTCATGGGAATTTAAAAATGCTTCGTAAATTGTAATATGCGTAATATGCATTCGTGGGTTTAGTACTTTATGCCTGACATAACAAGTTTACGCTGAGTATTACCATTCATTATAGCAGTTATGTCAATCTTTTATGCACTCGTGGGATTAACTTAGTGCTAGGGCATTGAATATCGAACAATACGTCAATTTCAATGATTTTGTTTTTTTTTGAGACACCCTGTATAATACCTTATTGAATTCTGATCGCTTAATTCGCTGTTTATGATCACGTGATATTGAATAGAAAATTCCATTTCCCAAGAGTGCAATGGAATACGTTCCATTGCACTCTTGCGAGTGCAATTGTACTATACGTTTTATTCCATTGCACTCTTTGTGTTTTCGTTAAATCGCATCCGTCAAAATGCTTCTCGTACGGTGATCGCTGTTTATTTTAACCCGATATTCGAAACTCAATAAATGGGAATGGGATTTAATGCAAATACGACTCGTCAAAATGGCGGGAGCTTACAGTAAACCTTTTAATATTTGTCTATTTTGGTATTATATAAAACAAATAATGAATGTTTTTATTCGTGCAATGGTAAGAATATTTTCATTCGGTGAAAGATGGAATGTTCCATTCAACTCGGCTGTCGCCTCGTTGAATGGAACATTCCATCTTTCACCTCATGAAAATATTCTTACCATTGCACTCATAAACATTCATTATTTGTATAATATACACGGGTAAAAATTGATCAGGTTGTTCGGCGTTGTTCAAACAGTAGCGAACAATGTTGTGCTGCACCCCGTGAACAATATTGTTAACAAGTTGTTCAACCATCAGTGCTGTTGCAAGTTGTTAACATGATTGTCAACAAGTTGCAACAATGTTGATGGTTCAACAACTTGTTAACAATATTGTTCACGGGGTGCAGCACAACATTGTTCGCTCCTGTTTTGAACAACTTGCATCAACATGATGATTTTTACGCGTGTAAAACTAAACTGCTTTTAAAATGGCTTTATCGATAAACTTTGAGTTTGCAATAAAATGATTTAAAATTCTCGCTTGCAAATAACTTTGCTTTCTTATTTATTTAAAAAATTCAATATCATAAAAAAGGGAATCAATATTAAAGATACACTGAAATTATATGCTGTCTTGTTTAGTTGTTTCATATACGCAAAGGCCGTCGGGTTTTAAATCCATTATAAAATCAATATTTAAAACAAACTTACCTTCGTTAACGTCGGCTCCCTTCTTTTAGCCGATTCTTTCGCAGTTCCTTTCTCAGAGAGCTTTTCAAATTTACAAAATCTTGCAAAAATGCGAGTAAAAATGAAATATATTTGCAAGAAATTTATCAATCATCAAATCAACTCAAGAAATGTTTGCTATTTCGCTGTCGTCATGCAGTCGTTACAATGCAAACTTTAAATTGGACCAATCAGTGTCCGCTATTCGTGACAGTCCGCCATATTTTTGAGATCAGTGAGGATGACCCAGTGAACTGGGATGACCACCCACCCAACACCGTTGGTGACCCACGCCCGCAATATTTGATGAACTTTAGACTCCGCTAATGCTTTCGTTTCCCCGGGTGTAAATAGCCGGGGGGAATTAGTACCCTCGCACGGCGCTTCGCGCCGTCGGCTCGGGGATAATTCGAACACTGTGGATTTTAGTTATTCTTAGTCATAAAGGTCAAATAATGGAAACAAGTTAGCCTCCTCCGCAGGCATCTCTTAATCGTCGAGAACTTATATCATTTAGTTATTCAAATAACTGATGTTCTGATTGGGTTCCTGTGCAGGGAGAAAAGGAAACAAGTTAGCAATGCGGGCCGAGGACGGGAAACTAAAGTTTAATTTGGAGTGGCCTTTTAGTTAATATCTATTCTTAGGGGCTGATTACATGGACCCGGCCAGCCCGGTTAACCGGGCTGAAAAATGTCACGAAAAACCTGGGCCGCAAAGTGAGTTTTGAATCAGGTTTAGGATGATTTTGCATCTATAATAAACCAATTATTTATCGCAAATTTATTTTACGCGAGTTTTAAAACCACAGTAAGGTCCTAAACAAACGAGTCAGCCCGGTTAACCGGGCCAGCCCGGCACCATGTAATCAGCACCTTAGATATAACTACAGACTGCGTGGCTATATGATCTGATCTTATTTTGCTACTATTTAAATTACAGCCAGAGATCTCATAGCTGAAAATAGAAAGTGTATGATAACTTTGGGAAAGTTGTATGAGATATATATAATTATGTTATATAGAGGCATAATTTCGTTTCAGAAACACTTTAATATATATTTCAATTCTCGGACAAGATCTAGACTCCTTGATTATACAAATACATGACGAATTGATAATGTATATTAATGCTTCGCAACTTTTAATCATATTTATATATAAGCTATGGACTATGGCTATGCCCTCTTTAAAAGATAATTGAAATCAAAGAGGAATTCAAAACAAATATTAATCATGCATGACAGACGGTATAAAACGTTGACGTTTTTAAAGTTTGCTTATCCACAAGCATAAGTTAAGACCGGCTTTCCACTGCCACTGCATGGGCACTGCATGGAGATTTCCTTCTTCACTCTAGAGAAAATCAATTTTCAATTTTTTAAAATTGAAAATAAGTCATAATCTAAAAAATATCTAGCCTGTCATTCAAGAGCTAGCGTATACGACAAAATTTCCTGTTAAAAACAGTTTATTAATTAAAAGAAGGCAAAACGAAGTCGATATAATATCTGGTAAAATATGCGATGCCTGTTTTCGCTTCAATCGTACGTACCAAAACCGAATCGTACCATGCAAGCTCTTTCTTTCGTGTGAATATTTATCACTTATTTACTGAGACCGAGGGAAACAGTGTGTTTTGTGGACCCGAAACCGTCGATGTTTCCCGAGGCGAAGCCGAGGGAAACATCGACGGTCGAGGGTCCACAAAACACACTGCTTTCCCGAGGTCCCAGTAAATAAGTGTTTT